GTTGTTTAAAAATATATTTAGCCATACCACACATTGGTCACACACTAATCAAGTTAATCGAACGATTTGAAACAATGAAAAACAATTGAAATGTTACTTTTGTTTCATAGTCATGTTTCACATGTTTCATGATCTTGTTGCATCGTACTAACTAGCTATGTTCCACTAAAGTGAGTTGCACATGTTGCACTTGGGTGTTGCACACTATTCATATCACAATAAAAAAACAACACTCATGAAATATACAGTATGTTGCAAGGTTTCGATAACATGTTTCATGTGATATATGCTCATGAATGGATGAATAATGCTCATGTTCATGAAATGCAAGTGCAATTATGCAAGCCTAACACTAGGGGTGTTACAGCGATGTAACACCCCAGCCCAGGGCTTAATAGGATTAATAGGATACTCGTACCAACAAGTTACAACTTTTTTTTTGGAAGCCCATCTCTTAAGAACTCTAAGGTTAAGCATGCTTGGCCTGGAGCGATGGGTGACCGACCGGGAAGTTCTTCCCGGGGGCGCATGAGTGAGGACAAAGTGCGTAGAAAAGACTGATGTTGGTCTATGAGGGCAGTCTATGTCCTAGGAAAAGCTATCAGATGTAAGCGGGCCTGGCCTCGAGGAGGCGGGACATTACAGAATGGTATCAGAGTCGACCCTTGCGGTTTCACGGGCGCGTGTGTCAGTTGTGCAGGCATGGTGCTTATGGCTGGTGTGGACCCAGAGTGGTCACCCAACATGGCACATGCGCTGGCACTGGACACACGGACGTGGCCAAGAGGGGACGTTCTTGGCCTGGGGTTGACCGACGAGGACGTCGGTCTCCTAAAGGGGTGAGGATGTAACACCCCGGCCCAAGGCTTAATAGAATTAATATGATACTCGTACCAACAAGTTGCAACTTCTTTTCTAAAAACCCATCTCTTAAGAACTCCAAGGTTAAGCGTGCTTGGCCTGGAGCGATGGGTGATCGACCGGGAAGTTCTTCCCGGGGGCGCATGAGTGAGGACAAAGTGCGCAGAAAAGACTGGTGTTGGTCTGTGAGGGCAGTCTATGTCCTAGGAAAAGTTATCAGATGTAAGCAGGCCTGGCCTCGAGGAGACGGGACGTTACAGTCGGTGCCGCCTCCCACCTACGTCTGGCAAGCCAGACGCAGAAACCGAGACTTCGCCATCGAAGTATTCATCAACCCCTACAAAAAAGAGAGGGACGATTAGGGAACCACGGTGAAAGTCGAGCAAACGCGGCGAGAATAGAAGATAAGAGGACCCACCTATGCCTGGACCACCACCTCATCGATCATCTAGCGTTGGGCCTCCGTGCCCAGCCGTGCAACCGTGGCGGCTGCTTCGCCCAGCTTAGACAAGGTCGCCCGGACACCCTCACAGCTCTAGGAGGCAGCCTCCCCTATGGCCTGCTCGGCCACATCATCCATCGTGAATAGAGCCTAGCCGAGTTTTGTGGGGTGCGGCCAAACAAAGAAGCCCTCGTCCAGCTCCAAACCTTCCTCGCCGAGAGGAAGGGCTAACATGCTCGGCCCATCGAAAATCACCTCCGTGAGTGGGGGGCCGACCACGGGTGGTGAACCCGCATCCCCTAGGTTGATGGCCGCCTCAGACCTTCTAATAGCTGACCTCTGTCCCTCACCCTTACTCACCTCCATGCCAACTCCAGCGTGATCCCTCGTTGAAGCGAAGCCTTCTCTGAGGGGTGAGCGTGGGGCCGCAATGGAGGGGAGCCAGGCTAATGGCCTAGGAATTACATCATCACTCAGGGACGGCCTCGACCATGTAGGAGAGCTCACCGTACCTAGAGGCGGCTTCGGGATGGCAAGCCCCACGGAAGACTCGCTACATCGAGAAATCACCAAAGATCAGCCAAAGAGAAAATGTCATCAACCCCGATCGGAAGGAGGACAGCGAGAGCAAGGCACACCTGGCAGAGCGCTCCACGACGGGCAGAGCAAGGTGCCCTCCCACGCACGACGCCGCAAAGGGGTCGAGAAAGGAGGCTTCACCGATGATACCACGAATCCAGAAGCCGGCGAGGCTTCTCCGGCCGTAGCGGCGGCGCTGACATCCTAAACGTCATGTTCCCAGGTGACATCAGCCTCCATCGATTTGGATGCCTCTAAGCAGAGCGCCAAGGAAGCAGGGCGCTTAACCTCCATAAGGGCAAAAGAGAGCCGGGGGAGGTCATCAGCCCCCCTCTGGACCCCTCCGTGGAATGGCGGCTAGCACCGTTCATCCCTAGCAACGCCCTCGTCGCTGTAGTATCCTCAACATCCTTCCCTCGAACGGGGACCTCGCTCCTCCCAAGGAAGGATCACTAGGAGCGGTGGACAGGGAGCTCCGACCATCGCCCGCAGCAGCGTGGGGACGCTTCGGACTTGACTCCTATGGTGGAGATGGGAGCGAACGCTTTTGGGCGGTGCTCCTACCCGAAGCGCCCGTCGAGCGGCCAAAGACCACTCGGTCCGCAGAGCGTTGTTGGATCCTGTGGAGCACCAAGAACCGCCCGATCCTCACCCTCATCCTCGGCGTCCCGGCATCATCGGCGTCACCATTCGGCCAAGCAAGACCCCTTGCTCCAAGACGCCCACACCTCCTTGCTTTCTCGCGGCGAAGTCGCTCCTTCTCCTCAGCGGTTGCCCTCTCCCGTGCGGCGAGCTCGACGCCCCCGTGGTGAGGGAGGTGGAATCGAGAGACAAATGAAGGAATGGGCTATGAAAATAAGACCAGCATGGTCAGGGAGCCCAAACAAGAAGAAAACACGAAAGAAGAAGAGGACTCACCAGATCGGGCCGATAAGTGGCCGAAAATGCCTCTACGGCGTTCTCGACTGCGACGACGGTGGTGGGGTGAATAGCTTAGCCACCCGTTTTGTAACCTCGTTGGCCTCAAGCGTCTTCGTAGACTCTCAGCTTGGGTCCCTGACTCCAGTGAAATCGCACAGCATGTGCGCCCAAAGCTTCAGTGGTTGAACACGCTGTTCAATCATGGTTAGCAGGACCGCGACGCCATTCAGGCCGACCGACACTTGGCCTTCAAGGATCCTAAAGATCTCCAACACCTTCTTCGATCGACTCCGCTCGCATCCCCGACTCCATGATTCTAGCCTCACTATCACGGCGACAGAGAATCGAGGAAGAGGGGCGGTGGCATCGTCGCGAATATAAAACCAATTCCCGTGCCAGTCGAAGTTTAGGATCCGGGATGACAAACACGGATAGTTGTAGGACGCACCATAGCGCATTTGGATGTTCATCCCGCCCACTAGGGTGAGCAGGTCACCATCAGAGCCATGCGCCTTGCGGGTCTTGACCTCGAACACTCACCAGAACAGGTCCTTGTTAGGCTCAATCCCTAGGAAGGCCACACAGACAACAACAAAGCCCGATAGCTACAGCACCACGTTAGGAGGAAGGTGCTGCAATTGGATGCCGTACTCATGGAGGAATCCACAGAAGAAGTTCGACATCGAGATCGCAAACCCACGCTCATGAAAGTCGGTGAACGACACCGTCTCATCGGGCTACGAGAACAGGAAGGCGTCCCCGGCGGTAGCCCTCCACCCAGCAACTTCCTTCGGAGGAAGGAGACCTCTCTCCACCAACCGCATCAGCCTCGCCTCCGTCACCTCCGAAGGTACCCACTCACCCATCTCAACACATAGAAGGAAAGCGGAGCGGCAACGGAAATAGCAAGCTACGGTAAGCACACAGCACCGCGGCGGACGGCGGCACGCGACCTAGGTAAAACTCTTAGGCCCGACCTCCTAGTTCCTTTTTGCTCTCTCGTTTGCAGCAAGTGGCAGAAGAAAGTGAAAATGAAGGTAAGGAATAGGCCCAGACAAAGGGGTCACTTAAGTGGTGGCCCTCTGAGACACGAATCATGCCCACGTGGAGTCCGTCCTAGAGCAAGTCCCGTGAGCCCTCCAGAAGCAAGGCAGCGCGTAGCAAGCCATGACCACACGAAGGGCACCATGAAGTCGTGAATAACCGGGGAGGTCAATCACCCCTAGGATTCGCGCTGAGCGGTTCTCCGCCGTCATGGTTAAGTGCTAATGCGCTCGTTCACACAAAAATGGGCGCCATGCCAGCTGCATAGCGACCAGAGAGGCAACGATCCCATGAGTCCACGCACAAAACAACCATCTCGCTCATGACCCCACGTCTTACTTAGAAAAGATCCCTCTAGCCGGCCCTTAGGGGGGCTCGAGGCCAACTAGAGATAGGGGTAGCAGGAGATGGCCCCCTCGGCTCTAATGGGTGGTGCGGAGCCACACGACCATATCTCACTGTGTTCGAGTCATTCACTTCGAAGTCTCCCGGGTTGACCCCCTCTCGGGGAGGCATCTTGCCTTCTGGTCGCTGCGGAGGCGGTTGGGAACTGACGGGATTGACGGGCGACGATTTATGGGATGTCTCACGTGAGGCACAACTGAACTCCACGTCGATTGGGGAGGATATCGGGTCCTGCTCGAATTATCCATCGACCTCGTCAAGGCGCACCACTCTGACCACGTGGTTACGGTGGATGAGCCTCTCCTCGCGTGGGGCAAAAACTCAACTTGCCTATAATAAGGCATCATGACCCCTCTGGGTCAGAAGACACACTGGGGAACAAGGAGTAGGGACCCTAAAATCCCGCCTAAAGCCAAGATACAAACCACGACTAGGCTCCTCCCCATATCAAGGATTCATGGTGACCCCGCTAAAGGCCGAGGCTGGGTTCAAGAACCCTCCGCCTCGCAGTTTAGACATCACAGCCAGCCTTGACGCACAACAGATGGCTGAATAAACCACACGAGAAAGCATCAGACCTGGCAAGCGAGGTCGAAGCTAAGTAACGACGGTCAAGTGACGCGATTCTCAATTGCGCCGCAACAGAAAAATAGCCCAAGCCCCAGAAGGTAAGATGCTAGAAGGGAGCCTGTAGGACGCTCCCCTCCATCGACCAAAGGGCCAAAATGGAAGGGAGCGCCTCACAAACCTCCTCCCAGCACCACAGCTCCTGGAGCAGAAAATGCGGACATGCGAGCCACAAACCCCGCTCGAAGAATCTCTCGTAGCACCGATTAGGAAAGGGAGCAACGCCCATCTCCGCTCACCAAGAATTCTCTTCTCATCCTTCCTCTCCCCTCAACTCGAAGGAAACAACATAGAAGAGAAACCGTTATTTATAGGCTTAAGGGAAGACTGAGCAACCCAAGACCCCCGCACCGCGTGGCGGACAATAGGGGGTCACAAACGACATTGGACACCCATGAAAAACGGGGATATCGAGACTCTCACAAAGGAAAGACCGGTACAACATCGAGGAGACCGCTCAACCCCATCTAAGTCACGGGCCCCGATACACGATACGCTACAGCAGCAAGGCTCATCAGACAGTACCATGTCCTTAGGGCATCCTGATAGAATAAAACACAATGGTAGCCTAGCATGACAAAAGCATCAGCCCGCAAGGGGTCGGGTAGCAAAGCCCGACGGAAGTACAATCATGAGGCCTCGCTCGGTGATCGAACGCGCATCAGCGCTTTCATGATCACCCCGTGACCGTTAAAACTCCCGGGGGCTACTATTAGGGTTATAACCCCGGGGTGTCTCAGCACACTGGTTAGCAGGCCGCATGGCCCACTACGCAACAACCAGCAAAAGCCCAAACGACCGAGGCCTAGCAAAAGCCAAACAGGTCAGGCCAGGTGCTGAGGTCGAGGTTATCCATGCCCCCTTCCACCTGCCTTAGTCTCACCACGCTCGCAGGACATACGGCCTCTCTCTGTCACGACCTCCGAAAGAGATAGAAAGAGGTCGTGCCTTGCCAATCAAGCCTACCCTAACAGGGGCAAGCACGCCGCACTGACCCCGTAAGGACCAAGGTGATAGTAGTCACCTAGGTCCGGTCAGACGCCAACCCAGCGCCATACCGCACGAACAAGGCAATACCGCACGACGACAGCAACAGGTACGACACCCACCGTCTAGATACGGATCGGCAGGACACGCATACGATCCCACCCACTATGGGATGGGATTCAGGGCAAGGGTCTCGACCTAAAGACCTTCCTGGTTGGTGGAGTGCCCCGACCCCAACGATCGGGGTCGTGACCCTCAGCTCCACGAAGCGACCAGGCGAACAATGATCCCGGGCGGCTACCTACTATGGGTACGATGTCCCAGGAAAGCTAGAGATGACGACGAAGACCATGACGGATGCCGCGTTGCACAGAATAACTGACGAACCATTACCATGGCTACAGTGCTGTCACGGCCGGCACAGAAGCTCCACGTCAGATCCTGCCACGACGTGGCCACAAGATCATGACGATAGCCACGCCCGGGCAAGCATCAGAAGACGGCGTAGCTTACAAGGCAAGTTAGCTTGGACCTCCCTCAGACTCTCGACCCTTAAGTCGAGGGAACCTCCTCTTTGTAACAAGCCCTAGCCCGAACTCTATATAAGGGCAGCCAGGGCTCCCATATGGGAAACACATTCTTCATCCTCTACCACTCCATCCATAGCAGAAGGGCTCCTAGAGCTTCTCTTCGGGCTGCCCCTCGTCAAGCATAGGTTATACCACCTCTTTCACCATTCTTGCACCCCCATTATAAGAACTTCAGAGCATTTAAATGAGGAACACGCACTCTATCTTCTTTGAGACCGGACCTAGGGCTCCAGTCTGAAGCAGTATAAATCCTTGTGTCTATTGGATGCTACCATTGTCTTCCTAAAACAACATGGTAATCGTATAAATTTACTAGTCTGGTTTACGAAACACCGACACACTATAGACATGTGCACATTAATACACACACGTGGTGCGGGGATTGGCAGTTACGGCACGACGGCACGTGCGGCGTGGGAATTGGCCAGAGACACATGGCAATGCTCGCCATAAAGGGTTTTCTTATGCGTTGAAGGATCAACTATTATGTTACTATTATTGCACACATATTTACATTTCTACCGGTGCAGCCTTTGCCATACTTGTGTACAACTAAACCCTCGTACATATGACAATATAAGATAACATATTAGAGGAACTTTTACATAGCTAATTTTAGGTTGGTCCTGAATAAGATCATGTTAAGTCTGACTAAATTTAAGATAAAATTTCAGTACCTAGAACACCAAATTGTATTATTAATATTATTAGATCAATTATTATTCAAATAAATTTTACCAACGAACTTATTTGGTGCCGTGGCCTAGTGCCTGTTTAGTTTCCAAAATTTTGTAAAATTTTTCAAGATTCCCTGTCACATCGAATCTTTGGACGCATGTATGAAGCATTAAATATAAATAAAAAATAAATCTAATTACACAGTTTAGACGAAATTCAGGAGACGAATCTTTTAAGCCTAATTAGACTATGATTGGACACTAATTGCCAAATAACAACGAAAGTGCTACAGTACCATTTTCCCAAAAAATTCGTCAACTAAACAAGGCATGTAAATAAATCCAGAACTAGCTCAAGTAAATAAATTACTAAACAGCTAACCCTATTTACTAGGAGCCCGGGATTGATTGAAATTGAAACTAGTAGTAGTAGTTTGATTTGATTGGTATTGGTACAATGATCCACATCTTAGCGCAAGGCTCGTCATCTGGGCCGTCCACCTCGCGATCGGACGACGGGGACGGAGTCTGAATCACACGGGATCTCCCCAACGAGGAGGGGGCCGCCTTCAGCCGCGGCGCCACGGCGATATACAACAGAACCCCCAGCCCACCCCTCCCCTGCTTCCGCCCACGCGCTCGCCTCTCTCCTTCCCCACCCTTCCGCCTCTCGCGCTCGCCTCTCGAGGACCCTCGCCATCCTCCCCAGGCGCGACACCAAACCCCCAGCGGCGGCGCTAGGGTTTGCTCCTCCGCGCGTCGGCACCGCCACCTCCGCCCGCGGTGATGGCGGGGCAGGAGCGTAGGACAATCGATCTGGAGGAGGGATGGGCCTTCATGCAGAAGGGCATCACCAAGCTGAAGAACATCCTCGAGGGCAAGCCCGAGCCGCAGTTCAGCTCCGAGGACTACATGATGCTCTACACGTACGCCTCCCTCTCCCCTCCCTCCCTCCTCCTCCTCCTCCTCGTCGCGGCGGCGGCCGCTAGGGTTTCCCACCTCGATCCACTTCGATCCGGTTCTGATCTAGGGTTTTGGTCTCCTTGTCGCAGGACGATATACAACATGTGCACGCAGAAGCCGCCACACGACTACTCGCAGCAGCTCTACGACAAGTATCGGGAGTCGTTCGAGGAGTACATCACCTCCATGGTGAGCCGCTTGTTCATATCCCTCTTGCTCATGTGAATGTCTGTATTCGACCTAGATTGTCTTGTATTCTGCGGCGTGGTATTAGTGTTAGATTTTCTACTCTGAGGGGAATAAGGCAGTTTGGATGTTTTTTTTATAACTTTGGTGGATTAGCTCTTGCCGCTTGGTTGGTTGATAGGTTGGGACGAGAACGGCCTATATGGCGATGTTCTCATTTTCTTTTGGTTTTCTGCTAAATAATACATTGCTTGCTGATGACTAGTCAGGTTCATTAACTCTGTAGATACACATTCTTTCTGGGAAAAGGAATGAGAGTTGTTTGTCATAGATGGTCGAACCCTTATAATATATATAGAATTGTCCTGATCTGTTTGATTGTACTTTGTAAATGAACTAATGAAAACTTTTTTATGCCGCAAATATTGCAGTGGTAGCGCTCTCTTCCCCTTCTTTTGTCCATCTCTTGATTTGTACAGGATAATTCAATCTCTTTAAAATGATTGTAAGCATCTTGATTTGGTGAAAGAATTGGTTCAGCTACTTTACGTGCCTTTGTAACAATTCTGTGCCCATTTATTTGTACACTTGGGCCTGGTGTTCTGTTGGCTCCAGTAGATTCATTAGATGTCTTGTGATATCACTGTGGCTGTTTCCATTTGCTTTTTGTTGGAACTTGTAGTTTCTGTTATGGGCTTGTCAAGGGTAGACAGCAGACCAGAATTGTTTCATTCGTTCTGTAGATAGACTTTTTTTGGGGGGGAAATGAGAGTTGTTTGTCATAGATGGTTGAACCCTTATAATAATATATAGAATTGTGCTGATCTGTTTGATTGTAATTTGTAAATGGAGTAATCAAAACTTTTTTTATGCTGCAAATATTGCAGTGGTAGCTTTCTTTTCCCCTTTTGTCCATCTCTTTTTTCTACAGGATAAGTTAAATCTCTTTAGTTTAATTGTAATAAGCATCTTGATTTGGTGGAACAATTGGCCCAGCTACTTGACAAACAATTCTGTGCCCATTCTTTGTACACTGCAGCTCATTTCTTATAGATCATGTAGAGAGTACCTTTTTGTATTCTTCCAGCACCTTTTAATGGACAGTAATTAGACACTAACCGATGCTATCTATGGCAGGAAGATAAATAATGGTTTGCATAATTGAGGACCCATGGATGCTAGTTTCAATTTGCAGGAGCTTTTCTGTAGCTTGCTAATTTATTGTTTGATGAGCATATTTGATTTGTAAAAGAAACTTGTATATCTCCCTTTAGCTGTAGGTGTTTTTATGACTAGAGGTTGAACCCATGAGTCATGCCCTGATTTTGTATGACGCTTTAATCTAACTATAATATTATCCTCTTCACTGTATTTGTACATTCACTTCTGAGAGCTTTCTCACTAAATTATAATTTCATGCAGGTACTACCTTCGTTAAGGGAGAAACATGATGAGTTTATGCTGAGGGAGCTAGTGCAAAGGTGGTCAAACCATAAAGTCATGGTTCGCTGGCTCTCACGTTTCTTTCATTACCTTGACCGGTACTTCATATCAAGGAGGTCACTTACCCCACTTAAAGAAGTTGGCCTTACTTGCTTCCGAGAGTTGGTAAAACAACAGTTACTTAATTTCCAGCTTCTTTTTCACTCATGCTTTTTCAATGCTTATGCCCTAATCAATTAAACTGTGGTAACAGATCTATCAAGAGATTAAAGGACAAGTTAAAGACGCAGTGATTGCTCTGGTGAGACCTTGCATCTC